CCCCAAAACCCCAAAACCCCAAAACCCCTAGTTCTAAATCTTGGGACGAAATATAAATCCCAAAAAGATGGATACGGAAAGAAAGAATTTATGAATAATTTATATTCATAGCTATCTCTGAGGTCTCTGATTTCTGAGAGAGATTTCTTCAGGGCCTTGACTATCTTCTCGACCTCATTGTAGTTATCAATGGCTTCTTGAGAATCAGAGGTAAAGGAGATCTTGTCCACAATTCTTCTTTCTTCTTTGTGCAAACTCTTTTCAAGTTCATTTTGGAACTCGTTGATGAAGTAGTGCTTGCAGAGGCGAGGCATCATGTCATGGAGCTCTTTCTTGAGTGCATTGCAGTAGCAGTCTACTGCCTTTTACACCTCTGCAATTATTGAATCTTCACTTTTGGGAATTTCGCTTAGGTTTGCCCTTTACAGTCGATGTTGAAGGCTTATCTTAATACATATCATGTATTGAGAAATCTTTATTAAAAGTTTTGGAATTGATCATTCCTTCTTCAAGTGTATCATCATTAGAGTTTTGGCCATCCTGAGCTTCTTTTTTTTCTTTTATAGGATTTTGCGAAGCTGAAACATCTTGATTAGCTAAATCTTCAGGCAAGATACTATTGTCAAGAGTGATGAAATAGTTTGTGACTTTCTCAGCAAAATCCTGGTAAAGATATTTTGGTAGCCATTAGTCATTAAGGTTTTCAAAGTTTCGAGCATCTCAGAAGGATCATGTTTTAGATTCATATAAAATTTGAAGTCATATCTATCAAAATCAATGTTCTCTTTTCTCATTTGTAGCAGCTCAATGATCTCCTCAGAAATGCTAACAAACAGAGAGTTCAAAATATCTGTTGATATTTTAATGAATCTGTTACCAAGGCAATATTTACTTCCACATATTTTTACAATTATATTTCTAATGACAACTTTAATCGAAGTCTTCACATTCAGAGCATAGTTCTTCAGAGGTTCTTCAAACTCCATTACTTTTGCTTCAATAAGTATACTGAAGGCCCATCGCTGCTCGAAATTCTTTAGTGATGGTTATTATAGTTTTGTACAATTGCATAAATCATCTCACCAGTGCAGTTTTTAAGCAATCAAGCGGCTTGATGTGCTTATCGTAGCTTTATCTTATAACATGCTTCACGTAGGCACCTCCAGAAAGCACTTTCTCAACTTCATCAGGGTTTTCATGCTCCATCCAGTTGTGGAACTCTCTTGTGATGCTGGTGATTGCAGAGAAGATCACTTCTGAGGCATCTTCCTCATTCTCACATATGTCATGTCTTGATAACAGAGCAAATTTTTTATTATATTTCTTGTAAGCATCAAAGATTTCTTCTTCAAAGTTTTGGAGGTTTTCAACTACACAATCACAAAGAATGTTCTGAAGTCAGTCTCTGATCTTCTCAGTTCCGCATCTCTTTATTACATCATCATATTCAGAGTGATTGCTGAACCATTCAGTTTTGTGTCAATCGTATCTTCGATGGTTTTACCGGAGTTTCGCTCATCTTTGCTTCTACATTTCATTGTATAATAGCCTAGAGTAGTTTCGAATTTGCTTCTATCAAGAAGTCCCAGAATGGATTCACTCTTGTTCTGGTGTCCAATATCGATCTTGGAGAGCACGGTAATAGTTCTCTTAAAGCTCGGATCGTGCTCTTTGATAATCGTTCTGATATATGAGTTCTCAAAATCTTCATCAGATCCATGAACAAACAAGATAATAGTGTTTGAAATTTTGACACACTTCTCAACCATGGCTTCGATCTTTTCTTTTGTGCTCTGGTCAAATTTCTTGTCAACTTCATGGATCATACCTGGGAGGTCTAGACAGCTTAAAGCAGCTTTGTTTTTAGTATATATGTTAACTACCACTTCTTTGTTGGTTTCAATAATTTTCTTCGATGTCCCCTCTCTACCCTCCTTGCTGTCTTCTTCATCTCTTTGCTTTGTTTCTTCTTGGATAGCTTCGTCACAGATCTGTTCGACTTTGTCTCTAACCTCTTGCTCATTTTTTGTTTCAAAAGATTCTCCCACTTTGTAGCTGATCCTCTCTACATTCTGATGATGGACCTGGTATCGTACACAAGCCTTAGTAGTAATGCCTTCTCCTGATGGCATCAAATCGACTCCAGTGATGTTCGCAATTATTGGGCTTTTACCTTAGGACTGTTTGCCCAGTACAGCTATCTGAGGTAAATTGATCTTGCCTTGAAGTTTCTTGTTAGAAAACAAGTAGTACAGGTTGAAGAAGGACTCCAAAAGCTGGATATTTCTTTTTTTGGTCCTATCCATAATATCTTTGCTTATATCCAATAATTTAATACCTAAGGGGTTTTGGGGTTTTGGGGTTTTGGGG